TTCTCACCGGGTGAAAGGATGAGCAGGAAGAGGATGAAGATGTCCCGGACGCAGAAAGTCCTCGGCCCTCCAACTCTGTCCACTACACGCCCTCCTCCTCCCCTCCGTCCTTGGACAAACTTTTTGAAGCAGTTATTCCTATCAGAACTATTTTAAAAGACATTTTAAAGCCCTAAAATGCTTACATTTGGAGACCCCACCTCACATAAAAGCAAGTAGAAGAAAACGCGCCCACTTCTTATGTGAAATGCATTTTAAAAAATTTTCTTCTGAAATGACTTAATGGGAAAAAACGTTATAATTGGCTGTGATTTCTCAGCATCCATTGTGCAAAATGAGAAAAATTGTTTCTAAATGTAATGAAGTTTTTATGAATATTACATTTAAAAATTAATAAAGTCAAAACAGTGTCACATTTTGGAGATATTTAATTAAATATGTCTGTCTTAATTGAATTTCGCAGTTTTCTTTTTGCATAATTTTCTGCAGGCCTCAAACATGATTTTGGCTGCTGGAAAACTTTAGGCCCTAGGGGGTCTTGTCTATGGATTTTGGAAGTGCTCTGAATTCACTTTTATTTTTCCTATTTACTCCTTGTCACATGCAATTTTGTCTTGCGCCACTAAAACCAGCCTCACCAAATGTGCCAAGGAGCGTTTTGTGCCTGACGTATTGGGAAAGGTCTAGTCCTGGCCTTCGTGACCGCCGGCAGCCCTGGGCATTCCTACTGCCTTGCCCGCCGAGGACTTCCACCTCCTCTGGGCCTTTGCTTGCGGGGAGGCACGGTCTCCTCCTTTTCCTGCGTTTGGCCTCTCGCTGCTCCTCCACGCACCAGGCTGTGACCAAATCCTGCCGATTTCATCTCTGGGATGCTTTTCAGTACCTTCCCCTTCCCTCTCTCTCTCTCCTACCACTGCCCTGGGTCTGGCCCCACGTCTCTTCTGGGACAGAATGATTTCCTGCTTGTAGCTGTGACCCCCCAGCCCTACTTGACACAGAGTTGCCTGGGTGGCCTTTCTGAAAAGCACAGTCTTACTCTACACACCCTCTGGTAAATGAACTGTTGGGAGCCTCCAGGGCACCCCACTGTCAATCCTACCTTGTTCTTCACTCCTGTGAGCACCTCTGCCTGGAACCTGTGCCCACCCCCATTCACACCCTGGCTACACCCCCTCCTTTCAGATGGAGCTCAAGGGTCACCTCCTCCAGGTCACTTCTTCCTGGTGTTGCCTGATTCTGTTAGTTGTATCGCTTTTGTGTTTTACTGATTCTGCACTGTCTACCGCTCCAAGGCTGCATAAAACAGTACATGAGTTTAATCCTGTGTTATCTGGACTCCCCATGAGACTGTGCGCTCCGTGAGGGGGCGGTCCACCTTGCTCAGCTGGCAACTCCACAGCCATGGTGGTGGGAGCCCAGTGAGAGCCCGAGAAGTGGGTGTTGAAAGAATGAGCAGAAAGAAGATGAAGACATCCCAGACACAGAAACCCGAATTATCAAAAGCTTTGGGTCCACACTGTGATATGTGTTCATCCCCAATTACATTTTGTTTAAAATAATAGTAAAGCATAGCACACCTTGCCCAGTGCTCCCAGCCTGGTCAGAGGCATCAGCCCAGACTGTACTGAGTGGCTGGCCAGGGGAACAATGCCTGCTATGCGGGGCAGCACTGCACACAGGCAGGCGGGAGGCCGGCGGGAGGCCGGCAGCAGACGCTGGTCCTGTGCTGGGTGATTTGGATGAGACCAGGGAAGCTTTCTGGAGGGCCTGAGTGTTGAACAAGGTGCTGCTTGGAACTGGGAGTCACAGACACCCACCGGTGGGCTCTCTTTCCCAGCTTCTGTTTCAGGGCCCCATGTCAGTCATAGGCACTGGCTCCAGCCGGTGGTTCCTGGCTGAGTGGTCTCTCCCTTTGGGGGGAGCCTTACAGACCCCTGGTGCCTTTAGGGATGCGTTGGAAAGTGGAAGCAAGAATAGAAGCTGGCAGAGTCAGAGCTGAGAGACAGAGGAGCGGGTGTTGGGGGGGCGGGGGAGGGAGCGAGTGCTGAGAGAGGCTGCAGCACTTTTTCCCTCACTGTCATGTCACCCCTCATCCTCCCAGAAGTCAGATGCCTCCACAGCCCAGTCCCTCAGAGCAGTCTCTGGTGGGACTCTTTCAGGCTTGACCACAGGACCTCACTGCCCTCCCAGAGTCACCCCCCAGGGGCCATCTATCCCCCCTCACCCTCTGCAGACAGGAGCACACAGATTCACCTAAACAGATGGTTCTCACACTGGGGTTTCTACTGACACTCGCCTCGAGCCTCCGCTGTGCCCCAGCAGTAAAATCGTATCGAGTGAAACAGAATCGAGCTCTCCCCACAACTCATGGTTGTTAATACTGACTTGGCGTCACACACAAATACAAACGACAGCTGACAGACACATACAAACAAACCTGTTTCTAAAACTGCAGAAACTGTGAGTCGCTGAAGGGAGCCCGGGGGTGTGTGCCTCTGAGCAGATGTGGCTCTCCAGCCCCCACCCACCCGCCTGCCCTGCCTTCAGCGCGGACTGGGGAATACCACCGCTTGGGGTTGGGTGCGTACATGTCTCATCCCTCCAAGCCTTGCATGTCTCCAGGCCGCACTGTAGACACATGCAACTGAGATTCAGGGAAGTTATTTTTGGACAAGGAAGGGGCAGCTGCGGCCGGGGAGGCAGAGACAGAGAGAGGCCCCAGGAGCCACGAGGCAGGCAGGGGGCAGGAGAGACTGCACAGTCTTGCCAAGGGACAGTGCAGTTCTCCTCTGACATCGGTCAGCACGCATTTTTAAGGAGCTTCCTGAGCCAAACAGGATGCCAGGTGCTGGAGCTCTATGCAATGCTCCCCATTGAAAACATCTGATCAGACATGAATTTTTTAACCAATATAACTTTCAAGTACCTTCTATTTCAGAATCACATTCACCTACAAATATATTCAATGGCCCCATCGCCACACTTATTTGTTGTAAATAGCAACGTCACGTGGGCCACGTGTGAGCTGACCTGCACGGCCTTCCTGGAAAAGACGCTGAGGACTGGTATAGTATGCTTGTCATTTCTCCTGGCACTTCCTGGGCTTCTGTTGACTAGACCTAGCAGCTATGGAGACAGAGATGGAGAAAAGTAGGGGAAGGGACATGAAATAGAA